GGATAGTTGGTGTGATCATGCGTTTTACGCAGTTCTATACAACGGACGTTTAATATTAATAATGTTACTGTTTGATAAGTGCAGAAGCCACTGCACTTTTCTGACTGACCAAAATTTCTGCGTGTCCCGCTGAATTTAAAATTTTCGGAGTCCCGCATGGGCAAGAAACATCCTAAAATTTCAGATTCCTGTTTTGTGTAGTTTCGGTATCGGAAAATTTCCCGCTAAAAGCTTCATCTGCTCGTACGTGGAATGTAAGCTTGCTTAGTAGCTGAATCTAAGATTTTTGGCATCGTATATGATTAGGATACATTCTTTTGGAATTTCAGCTTCACGTCTTGTCTGATTCAAATTGGAAAATTTCGCGCCACAACGTTCACTTGTTCGTGATTGAAATGTGGGCGTACATGAAAGCTGAATTAAATTTTTGGGGTGGTACATAGGCGTATTTAATAGCTGATATGTGTTGACGCACAACAGGGTTCAACTCTGACAGATTCAAGCACACTGAGAAGACACTGCGCCGCATTTGCCCAGCTAGGCTTGTATAGTGTGGACCAACTTCAGCCTGGTCTGCCGTTGGTGATGCACCAAAAATCAAGCAGCTGCGCACGCAGAAACGTTGATGTACGCTTAGCAACGTTTTATCGGACAAAACGCCATAAAGAAAAATAAACCTTAGGCTGCTAGGGATCTCGAAGTTTAATGGATGCCGCCATGGAAAGGCCTCGGCCTCTCGATATGCATCTACAACTGTAAGTCGATGTCAAGGGATTAACTTACGGACCATCTCACGGGAAGGAAGGCCAAAACTGATTAGCTGGTGGTTCGGAATTCTTTTCCTGTTACTGCTGGATTTCAAATGCAAAGCGGCAGTACTCTTTCACGCTGGATGCCGGACTGGGCCTTCACACTTTCATAAATTAGGCGGCTCATACTTGGATAATACAATCTAATCAACGGAATCACGCCAAAAACAGAATACGTCTAACCACAGAATCCTCAAAATCGAGGCCGTCGCAACCATTCATGATACAAGCCCAGGCTGGAACGCACCGGGCGCCGGTGACAATATGCGTTTTGTACTGCTGTTACACAGCACAAAACGCATAAAAACCCAGGCTGGAACGCACCGGGCGGCCCCGTGCGATCATGCGTTTTTGCACCGGACTTGAATTACTCAGGCCATTAACTGTATGAATGGCTGTTGCTTTATACTTCCCTTTTGCAGTCACCAGCATAAGTCACTATAAATTTTGCAAAGTAAATGTATAATTTTTATTTAACAGTCGTTCTTTAAAAGTAACCTAGTTGTTCAGTGAGAAGTTTTTGCGTCAAGACTTTCAAGCGCTCGCACGTTAGAAAGACGAATATCTTAACGCTGAATTTGAAATATTTAAGTTGTACTTGAACAGGGAACACTCCCTCAAAATTTCAGCCTTCCAGTTTTTCTGGTTACCGAGTTAGCAGTTTTCCCGCCAAAACCCTCACACATCTATACTTGGGTACTCCACGTGCTTGGAAAGCTGAATTTGAAATTTTTAAATTGCACTATGGACAGGGAACATCGGCCTAAAATTACAGCTTTCCAGCTCTTCTGGTTGCCGAGTTAGTAATTTTCTTGCAGAAACTTTCATACACCCTTACGTGAGTACCATACATAGCTTGGGGCTGAATTTGAAATATTTGAGTTGCACTTCGATGGGGAACACTCCTCCAAAATTTTAGCTTTCTAGCTTCCCAGGCACCCGAGTTAGCAATTTTCCTCCTAAAACTTTCATACGCCCTTACGTGAGTACCACGTGCAACTGGGGACTGAATTTGAAATCTTTGGCTAGTACATACACAGGGAATATCCCTACAAAGTTTCAACCCCTTAGCTCGTGTAGTTCCCGAGATCACTTTCCCGCCAAAAAATTTGCATATTTTTTTAAAACTTCCGTACGCGGCACCTAGGCATCCAAAAGGGATGAAATTAAAACGGGAGGGTCGCGCATGGCACGGGTAATACCTCCAAAGTTTCAGCTTTCTAGCTTTTCTGGGTCTCGAGTTGAAAGTGGGTGACAAAAAGTGCGAACAAACAGACACACAGACAGCCTCTTCCCAATATGCGTTTTTGCAATTTACATGTATGCAAAAACGCATAAAAATAGCAGGAAATCAAAGCAGCACTAGAACAACGAAGCAACAACAGAATCACGAAGTGCGCCACATAAAAACAGAATCTACAAAACGCTTCCAAACCGAATCTATCGGAGCGCCCTTCAACGCACAGAAGAAACAGGATGAAGTCTATCAACTCTAGTCCTGTTGTATACGGCTAAACAACGGAAGGCTGCATTCTGCATACATGGCTTGGCCTACCAACTTCCTATGGAAATTCTTGAAATCTTACTTGCTATGCAATAACACTTCCGAGAATTCGAAAGAACACCATGCGATATCCTCGGTGCATGTGAAAAACGGCAAAGCACCGAACAGATCGTAACCTGGAGGGATGGCAAGGCGATTATGCTCAGCACTGGAGAAAGGCAGAGGAGCTTTGGCGGAGTAGGTATATCGTGAACAGGCAGCGTTTCAACAAATTATCCCTTGTCAGTTTCACTCGTCAAGAATCAGCGTATGCCTCCTCAAGGGAAATTCTCGCAGAAACCTCAAAAACGGTCATTTTCAACAAACTTTAGCATAACCGACG